GCAAGAAGAGAAAGCTGGAGGATGAATGCTCTGAGCTCAAGAAAGATATCGATGACCTGGAGCTTACCTTGGCTAAAGTAGAGAAGGAGAAACATGCCACTGAGAACAAGGTTTGACATTTGGATTATACCTAGCAGATTAAACAACATGTATACAACAATACAGTCACATGTTAATAACACTGTAATTGCAAATGTAGGTGAAGAATCTGACTGAAGAGATGGCTTCTCAAGATGAGAGCATCGCTAAGCTGACTAAGGAGAAGAAAGCTCTTCAGGAGGCTCATCAGCAGACTCTTGATGACCTCCAGTCTGAGGAAGACAAAGTCAACACTCTGACCAAGTCCAAGACCAAGCTTGAGCAGCAAGTTGATGATGTAAGTTGAAAATGTCACAGGTGATGGCAAAACAGAGAGAGAAAAGAAACCTCTTCTTGAACAAGAGAATAACAAAGTCATATCATTGTGCAGCTTGAGGGTTCTCTGGAACAAGAGAAGAAGCTTCGTATGGACCTTGAGAGAGCCAAGAGGAAGCTGGAGGGTGATCTGAAGCTCGCCCAGGAATCCATTATGGATCTTGAGAATGACAAGCAGCAGTCTGATGAGAAACTGAAAAAGTACTTTCATTTTTTCCCCCTTTATGACAAGCATCCTTCTAAGGATTGGACATAATATGTACATTTATTAATTATGCAACTTATTATTTTCACAGGAAAGACTTTGAAATCAGTCAGCTCCTTAGCAAGATTGAGGATGAGCAGTCAATGGGTGCCCAGCTTCAGAAGAAGATCAAGGAGCTTCAGGTAGATGATACATGATGTTACATCAAATGATAGTCCATACATATTTTCTGCGTTGTACTTTAAATTTGAAAGTTTACTCAAAGGAGACACACATCTAATCCAACAGGCTCGTATTGAAGAGCTGGAGGAGGAGATTGAGGCTGAACGTGCTGCTCGCGCCAAGGTTGAGAAGCAGAGAGCTGACCTCTCCAGGGAACTTGAAGAGATCAGTGAAAGGCTGGAGGAAGCAGGTGGTGCAACTGCTGCTCAGATTGAGATGAACAAGAAGCGTGAAGCTGAGTTCCAGAAGCTCCGTCGTGACCTGGAGGAGTCTACTCTGCAGCATGAAGCCACCGCTGCTGCTCTGCGCAAGAAGCAGGCTGACAGCGTTGCTGAGCTGGGAGAGCAGATCGACAACCTCCAACGTGTGAAGCAGAAGCTTGAGAAGGAAAAGAGTGAATACAAGATGGAGATTGACGACCTGTCCAGCAACATGGAAGCTGTCGCTAAAGCAAAGGTAAACAACAAAATGCATTTATTTTAATACTTAAATCACCAGCAAATAGTGATGATATAAAAGCTTGTCACTGATGAATCTTTTTCTCCCTCTCTAGGGAAATCTTGAAAAGATGTGCCGTACTCTTGAGGACCAACTTAGTGAACTGAAGGCCAAAAACGATGAAAATGTCCGTCAGATCAATGATTTGGGTGCACAGAGAGCACGTCTGCTTACTGAAAATGGTTTGTATAAGACAACATGCAGTGATCCGAACTTAGTCCTTTATAGTGATCTTCTGTTTTCGATAGATAAACTGAACACAAACTAAAGTTTGATGACTATTTTTACACAAGGTGAGTTCAGCCGCCAGATTGAAGAGAAAGAAGCTCTCGTCTCTCAGCTGACCAGAGGCAAACAGGCCTTCACACAGCAGATTGAGGAGCTGAAGAGACACATTGAAGAGGAGATTAAGGTAAGAAACACTTCAATGGAGGCTGGTATGGCTTACCAGACAGAGCAGGTGATCCCTATGCTGTAAGGCCCAAGTTTGAATCCATCATAAATGGTAAAAGTGCGTATAGTTTTTTGTTGGTAATTCCGACATTTTGCTCATGCAATGATGTGTCTTACACCAGGCCAAGAATGCCCTTGCCCATGCACTGCAGTCAGCTCGCCACGACTGTGACCTGCTGAGGGAACAGTTTGAAGAGGAGCAGGAGGCCAAGGCTGAGCTGCAGCGTTCAATGTCCAAGGCCAACAGTGAGGTGGCTCAGTGGAGAAGCAAATATGAAACTGATGCTATCCAGCGCACTGAGGAGCTTGAGGAAGCCAAGTGAGTATTTAGTTAGTAAGAATGTGAGCAAAAAACAAGTAAAACAATAAGCTTTTACTGAAACAATGTTTTTTCATAAAGGAAAAAGCTGGCCCAGCGCCTTCAGGAGGCAGAGGAGCAGATCGAGGCTGTTAACTCCAAGTGTGCTTCTCTGGAGAAGACCAAACAGAGGCTCCAGAGTGAAGTGGAGGACCTCATGATTGATGTGGAGAGAGCTAATGGCCTGGCCGCTAACCTGGACAAGAAGCAGAGGAACTTTGACAAGGTACCATCATTTACTTTGCTTGAACAAGACACAAACTCATGGTTTCTCTTAGTATGGGTGAATAACTGCATCGAATGTATATATAGGTGTTGGCAGAGTGGAAACAGAAGTATGAGGAGGGTCAGGCAGAGGTGGAAGGAGCTCAGAAGGAGGCTCGTTCTCTCAGCACTGAACTGTTCAAGATGAAGAACTCCTATGAGGAAGCCTTGGATCAGCTGGAGACCATGAAGCGTGAAAACAAGAACCTGCAACGTGAGTTCCTACTATGCTGTGCAAGTAACGTGTGTTCATTTTTAATGTCTTAAGACTAAACAATATCACACATGCCTCTGCAGAGGAGATCTCCGATCTGACTGAACAGATTGGTGAGACTGGAAAGAGCATTCATGAGCTGGAGAAGGCCAAGAAGCAGGTGGAGACAGAGAAGTCTGAGATCCAGACAGCTCTTGAAGAGGCTGAGGTAAATCTTTGTCTGAGGAGCTCCTCTGAAAATAAATATTCAGTTATACACAAGTAAAATCTACAAATGCAGAGATGAATATCTTTTCATATTCATTCTTTCATATGATTAGGGAACTCTGGAGCACGAAGAGTCTAAGATCCTGCGTGTTCAGCTGGAGCTCAACCAGGTCAAAGGTGAAGTAGACAGGAAGCTGGCAGAGAAAGATGAAGAGATTGAGCAGATCAAGAGGAACAGCCAGAGAGTGACTGACTCCATGCAGAGCACTCTGGATTCTGAGGTCAGGAGCAGGAATGATGCCCTGAGAATCAAGAAGAAGATGGAGGGTGATCTGAATGAGATGGAGATTCAGCTGAGCCATGCTAATCGCCAGGCTGCTGAGTCCCAGAAACAGCTGAGAAATGTCCAGGCACAGCTGAAGGTATGATAGAGCACATAGCTGTTGTACACAAGTGCATTTTTTTATTCATGTGAATATAATTTTGATATTCTTTTTTACTAGGATGCACAATTGCACCTGGATGATGCTGTCAGGTCTCAGGATGACTTCAAGGAACAAGCTGCTATGGTGGAGCGCAGGAACGGTCTCATGGTAGCTGAAATTGAGGAGCTTAGAGCTGCCCTGGAACAGACAGAGAGAAGCCGCAAAATCGCTGAGCAGGAGCTGGTGGACGCCAGTGAGCGTGTTGGTCTGCTGCACTCTCAGGTGAACATTTTTGAAGAGACACTTTAATTGTTTCTTTAGACAAACTTAAAATGAACATCCTAAAATGTAAACTTTCCATGTCTTAGAACACAAGCCTTCTGAATACCAAGAAGAAGCTTGAGGCTGACCTGGTTCAGATCCAGAGTGAAGTGGATGACACTGTTCAGGAAGCAAGAAATGCAGAGGACAAGGCCAAGAAGGCCATCACTGATGTAGGTTTATACACATGTCCACTACGACGATACAACTCAGCTTTGTCTTCATCACTCTGTTAATTGAGGTCATGTTTTCAAGGCTGCTGTAATGGCTGAGGAGCTGAAGAAGGAGCAGGACACTAGCGCTCACCTGGAGAGGATGAAGAAGAACCTTGAGGCTGCTGTTAAGGACCTGCAGCACCGCCTGGATGAGGCTGAGAATCTGGCTATGAAGGGTGGCAAGAAACAGCTCCAGAAACTTGAGTCCAGGGTAAGAAGAATGTGCAACTGAAAAATATGTGTGAAAACACACATATATAAACCATGGATTTTAAAAGTTTGCTCAATTTTCTGAAGGTGCGTGAGCTGGAGGCTGAGGTTGAAGCTGAGCAGAGGCGTGGTGCCGATGCTGTTAAGGGTGTCCGTAAATATGAGAGGAGAGTGAAGGAGCTCACCTATCAGGTAAAGCACATTAACATTTTACATCCATCCATTCTGTTCCACTTATCCTTATCAGGGTCGCGGGGGGCTGGAGCCTTTTCCAGCAACCAGTGGATCACATTTTTAAAATGTGTTTTCTTTTATAGACTGAGGAGGACAAGAAGAACATTAACAGGCTGCAGGATCTGGTTGACAAGCTGCAGCTCAAGGTGAAGGCCTACAAGAGGCAGGCTGAGGAAGCGGTAAGGACCACACACAGAAAAAAAACCCCTCAACTCTGTCAGATTTTAGTTTTGTGCAAACAAACTGTCATCGTTTTGGACACTAAGAAATTTTGACTTATTACAATGTTACAGGAGGAGCAGGCCAATGTCCATCTGTCCAAGTACAGGAAGATCCAGCATGAGCTTGAGGAGGCCGAGGAACGTGCCGACATTGCCGAGTCCCAGGTCAACAAGCTGAGAGCTAAGAGCCGCGACTCTGGCAAGGTAAATGTACACACACTTTAGACTTTGCACAAAGTTATAAGAAGAAACATCCCAATTCTGCTTTGAATTTCATAAAATTGGCTACAGACAATAATTTGATTTGTTTTCACTGAATGCTCTGTTTTTATACACACAGACCCATATGTACTGTTTTCTTTTGTTCTACAGGGAAAAGATGCAGCTGAGTAAAGCACACGTGTGAACTGTGCATTTCTAATCATATAATATGATGTGAAATACACTCCAATAAAATATTTTTTATCACAATTTCCTGTCTGTGATATTTTCATAGTAATAAACAAGAGAGTAAACATGACACACGGGTAATCTAAGTGCTAATGAATCTTTACTGAGGTATCCTGCATTCAGTTATTAATTTAGGCATGAATACATAGAAGTATATCTCAATTAACATCTTAGGACTTTGAGCACAAACAACTCAGAGCGAAGATACTCCAGAGGGACTCGTGAATGTAGATAAGAAGTTAGAGACAGTGGTTTGGGAGGGAAAAAACAATCACAATAACCTGCACTTAAAGAATCAACATGAACATAAATAAATAGGTAACATTAATAACTTCATTCAAAATGCATTCTTGTGTATTTTAAGCTTTCTTTGTAATCCAGTGCTCTAGCTTGAAAAACATACCCCACATAATCCGTTTCAAATTCAGCTACAGAATGTGTGCAGTGAAAAAAAGTGACACACCGAGTTTGAGAAGAATGTTTAACAAAGAGCTTATTTTACTCATTGGATCACATTTTAAAAAGAGCCTGGCTTTCTGCATAACAATCATAATGAGGATTCAAAACTAATCGTTGCTGTTCGTGAAGCACATGCTAGCTGAATGAGACTGGCATAGCTAAAATAAAAGCAATACAACACTGTACCTGTATATTACTCACCTGACCATGGGTTTTTGCTCTTTGCTGTGTGGATATTCTCCCTGGTTTCCTAAACCTTTGTCCAATCATGCTCAGCTCATTTCTGGCTTCTTTTTCTTTTCTCATTAATGGATTGGGTGATAAAGCATCCTGCCTGACAGCCTAAAAAAGGAGACTTAAAAGCAGAAGCAAGTCTTTTAAAACATGTATTCAAAGTTGTTGTTTTTTTTTGTTTTTTTTTTATTTCTTCATTTTTGATAACTTCAATTATTGGGATTAGTCAACTGGAAAATTCAAAGAAATTATGATGGTTCTGATATTCCACGTGTGGCTTTGTCACTTCCACTTAATCACCTTATTTCAAAGGTACATATTCTATACTTTTTAATTCTTTTTAAAATTTGCGGTAATTACTTTAATTTTGTTCTGTCCAGTCACTTTATTTTGCTATTTTGTAAACTTTTCATTAATGTATGTTTTTATTTCATACTTAAATTGTAACTGTAAATGTAATTAGTATTTCTCACACTTTGTCTTCGCACACAGTCGCCCGCTTGTGTTCAATTTATCACACATGCGCACAAAATGGTGCACTCTAGCCACAGAGCAGGGTGAGGACATGTTGATTATCAGGAGAAAAAGTCAACATACTTGTAATTTTAGTGCTTTTAAGCACTTATTATTTAAATTATTCAGTTGTGCTGGACCCTTCATACAAAAAGAGTGATATGCAGAACACTCTTTTATCGCAGCACTGCCATTCTGCTAAAAATGATATCACGTTAATCATGGCTTAATACTCCAATAACATTATTGTGACCGTTACCAAATGATGGAATTTATTAAGGATTCATGGGAAGTTTTAAACAACTGCATTCTATCTTGTGAAGTTAATGTCTCATATATTACATTTCATAGAATAAATTGTGGATTAAAAGATACACATTGTATAAAAAATAAAAAAAAAGCAACTAATCATCATAACTGTGGCATTCATTATTTTTTCGAGTCCTCTCGTACTGATCTAGGTACACGCTAATTACATGTAGATAGCAACAAGTACAGTTTCTGCTTTAGCAACCAAAATAAACATTTGAACCAACAGTTCGTCAATAATGCCTCTCATAAACTGAGTAATGAGAGTAATGTTAGTGTGGCATTGAGAAAGTGGAGCATTGTTACAAACATCATGTTTACCGTTGAGTAGCAGTAAGTACGGAGAGTAATAAAGTTTTGTGTCACTGTGAGATCAGGAGGACAAGCATGTCTGGTCTTTACCTCAGCAAGTGCAGATGCCTGAACAGTCTGATACACATGCTTTCAGGGTAAAAACATACAAATACAACACTCCATGATGATAGCGGTGGTTCTGCTGTGTTTCAGATCAGTAGGCCATGCCACTTTGCTACTGGCTGACGTACTGAGCGCATCATCAAAGTCCAGTGCTCATCTTCTGAACTCTTCTCCTTCCCCACACTCAGCTGTCCGATCAGCTGTTTGGCTGATTTGCTTGTTGGGCGAGTTTCATATATAGAGACCAAAATTTTACACCGCTCCAGATGAACCTCTGGCAGGGAGAACAAGAGGACCTCATTGAAAACAGTCACCAGGCACCGAGCCACTGTAGAGCTTTTCTGGTACTTTAGCTTGAACTGATTGCACTGGACGCTGATCCTGGCATACAGGGCTGTGCAACACACACATACACAGATTACATGAATTTATAACCGTATGTGCATCAAAGCTGGCGTCTTTTTTGTGTGAAGGTGTCTTTTTTTAATTTACCTGCATTTGGGGATATCTCAGAAAGGACAGTTTTGACCTTTAGCAGGCCAACCTCCAGCCTCTGAGACGTGGGAAGAAATTTCAGGGACAAAAGCACCTCTCCAACAAGATCCTTTGGAGAACGCATCAGTATAATGTACATTTATGCACAGTTTAAAAAAAAAAAAGTGATATAGTTGCAGGCACAAACATAAATGACAGTATTCAGCAGGGCTAAAAATCACCACATAAGCACAAAATGTATTAAATGGCCACAGTCATAACTCAAAAGTATAACATCTTTTTCTTTTGTTTGATCTTAAATTAAAGAGGCAAAGGTCATCCTGTGGTTTCAGTTGCAGTAGTGTTACAAATATATTTTTCTTTTCTTTGAGCAATTAAAAAAATATTACATGAATTATTATTGCCCCAATATAATAATTCATTATTATAGTAAGCTAGATGCTTAGACGGATGCCATGTTCAGTTATTGAAATATCATTGACAATAATGATGGCACCATACGATCCACAAATTACACAAACCAGTAAAAGTTAAACTAAATTTTCTGTGGAAAATAAAATTCTAGCTACACAAATGCACTTTTGGGTTCACCTGTGCAATTCTAAATTACTCCTAATATTTTGCCTCACTCGTGGTACATTAATGCTGTGGACAAAATATTAGGCATAGGTACTATAAACACTAACAAAAATGATTGCTTTTCTGAAAATGGAACAATTTTTGTGTGGACTATGAAGAAGGATTATATAGTTATAACAATGTACTCTATTATATTTTTACTATCATCTGTCACGTCTGTAAATGTCTGTTTAATTATTTCCATTCACACAATGAATATGGTAAATGGCCTGTATTTGTATAGCGCTTTTCTAGTCCATAGGACCCCAAAGCGCTTTACACTACATTCAGTCATCCACCCATTCACACACACACATTCACACACTGGCGATAGCAAGCTACATTGTAGCCACAGCTGCCCTGGGGCGCACTGACAGAGGCGAGGCTGCCGGACACAGGCGCCACCGGGCCCTCTGACCACCACCAGTAGGCAAACACGGGGTTAGTATCTTGCCCAAGGATATTTGGCATGCAGGCAGGAGCCTGGGATCGAACCACCGACCTTCTGATTAGTGGCTGACCTGCTCTGCCACCTGAGCTACAGCCACCCCGAATATTAGCTTTCATTTTTATTATTATGGCTAAATATAGTTATTATATAGTTTTATAATCATATTGACATACTCTGTATTTCACCTTTACATAACATCAACTACTTGAGATGCTACTGAAAGCCAGTCCTGTGTGCATGCTGTGTGTTGTGTGTGTGCGCCCCCTGCAGTACCTTCTGGGGTATCTTTAGATCCTCCTGTAGTTCCAGAGGGTAGGAGATGTTGAGCTGTCCTAAAGGAACCCTCACATCTCCTAACACTGTGTTTCTGGAGAATTTATCAAAGTCTCGTACCTGAGATGCATACAGACACCAAATGATTTACACCACAACAGATAAAAACATTTATCATTCATACTTTTTTCTCTCAACAAGTGAAAAGAGACTAAAGTACTGTAACATAGCTGTAGTGCTTATGGCTTTAAATTCTCTGGCCCTTGAAATGTGACAGCTAACATGCAAACTGCATGCATGATTTAATACAAGCAATACCGTTTGAGTCCTGAACAAATATTTTTTAAGAATGAGAGATATGTAGTGCAGAACCTCCATCCTTAGGTTGATATGATGAAGCTTTTCCTCTTGTAAAACACAGCTGAACTGGTCTCCAAATAAAGGGTTACAGCTGCCTTTCACAATGCGAGTACGCCACTCCTGCAGTACTGTCCACAGAACAGGCGACAAGCCTTCCCCCTAAGAGGATCACACCAGTAATTTATGACACCTTTGTCTTTAGTACAGAGATGCTGTGCTGAATGAAAACTCAAAGACAGCGTGGATTGTATTTTTAAAATATGTATCAAGAAAAGGAAGAAAATAAGTTCACGGAAAATAATAATACGACAAACTTACCTCTTCATCTTTAAAGCCCTCGACTTCTACAGCCTCTGATCCAGCCCACATGAGCAGTATTTTAACAAATGGTTGGAGGGTTCGGCTCTCACTCTGTTCCAAAAGCCCCTCCACCTGCAGCACGGTGACCACCAGACGTGACTGCATCTGATCATAGTAGACGGAGAATCGTAATGATCCATCCACCTGATAGGGGAGGATATGTTAGGAAAGACCCAAAGACTGTAGTTGATTTTGCCTGAAACTGTGTCATCAGTCATTTACTGTTAATCTTATTTTGTGAGGATTGATGGGACATTTTTTTTAATGATGTTTAAATTTCTGTTACATACTCAAATAGGAAAAGAATTAGGAAAAGAATGTAAAATTAAATTCAGCCTGCTTATCTTTTAGTCAACCTGATTCATCCTGAATATCTAAACAGATGCCAGAAGGATTTACAGGACATTTAGCTCAGAGATCTTTGGTTGACAGAAGATGAATCCTAATGACTGTGGTGAGGTGCTTCTACAGCCAGAGAAATGAGTCTACACATGTATCTGTGAGCATAAGTTTAATTCATGCAAAAGTGCAAGGGTATCTGTATGCATACTTACACTGCATTTTTTAACTTGTCTCTCTATAAACTCACTCTTGGCGCCACCATGTGGTTATGTTTATGGTTTACTAGTAAGAGAGCAGCTTGTAGCGTTTACCTAAACGTTGGCATCTCTATTTAATGATAGGAAAATCTCAATTTTACACCACTTAATTAATCTGACAGCTTTATTTAGCAGACTTTAAATAAAAAAAAGTGATACATTCATAACATATTTTAAAAAGCTGTGCATAATTGGTGCTCATTGCCGGATGTTGCTGGTGTTGTTTTATGAATCTTTAAGTTTTGGATCTTTAAATAACTGTAGAAACACCAACAGAGCAACACTGCACTAAATGAATATACTTCCTGTTTTGTCTCTCATTAATAATTTCACTGGACCTTGGGTTTCTGTCTGTCCAAAATAAAATATATAAACTGGATAAAATACCAGTTTTACCTTTTGAATAGTTGCCTGCTCTTCTTTGTCTCCAGCTGCCTCGGTGGATGCTAAGGAGGGAAACGAGGGCTGAGACAGGTAGCGACTCAGTCTGTGGGCCTCTGTGCTGACATCCTCCAGCTGCAGGCACACACAAATGGGCACTATTTACCCAGGAATTAAGAAAGAAAGCAGGCTAGTTTTATAAGCCTTTATAACACAGAGCACAATTAATTTTTAAGCCTCTACTCTTTAAAGACTCACATCTATCGAGGAAATACTTAGATATTTCACATGTACACGCTGTCATGATGGATCTGGTTTCATGTACATAGCAGTCAAGGGTATTAATTTATAACTGTCCTTAGACTAGAGTCCTTCACTTGCATCATAGTTGTTATTGCCTGCTCTATCACAAAGGTGCTCAAGGTGATTTAGATGTAGTAGCTTCAGCTTGTAATACTACATTAAAATGCTGCCTACATTCAGGTTTACATCTGTGGTCCTCAATTTTCATCACTCTTAATTTAGCTATCATTTGCCGTTGTTCTAACACTCTACATGGAAGTTTTTACACTCAGCAGAACTTTTCCTGACACGGGTCAGTCATGTGGTATGAAGCAAACAGCAGACTATCCAAATAAACTGCCCGACTTCTCAAACACATCCACACAAACACCCCACCCAGCCTGTGGTTTACTTATCTGCCTTCTGTCTGACAGTCCTCTAAAACAGTCCTTAGTAAAGTTACATGCTAAATGCTGACTTCTGTGGTACAAAATATATTAAAACTCTTAATTGTGTGGTATTTATATCATCCTGTTTTACTAATTTCCTACTGAAAATTCTCATGTTTAAGTAAATTGGCATTACCTGATTACACCGTGAATCTACAATTTTCAGAAAAATTCACTTCATTTTTTTTAAGCAGTCCTAAATATTTCCTGCATTTCTCACCAATTCTGTTCCAGAATCTTAACATGTAACTCAATAACTGTGTCCAAAAGAAATTAGCAGCAATATATTACATTTCAGAGATTCACCTTGTTCAGATGCACAAATCCCAAGTATCAACTGAAAGACAGCAGATTCCTCGAAGCAGGATTTTCTCTTAACCTGGTTTATACAGTCTGGTCAAGACCATGTGCACATTAGTGCTCAATTGTGAAAACGTTTCCTCTTACTTTGGTACTTGGAGCTCCTGAGTAGTTTCCTGTTGTCGTTGGCCCTTCGTCTGAATACAGCAAATCATTATGCCCTATCGCAGAAAACAGACACAACCATACATTTAATAATTTGTGTCACAGTCCCTCTGGCTTGTCAATATGCACTACACTGAGTATTACTGTAATTCCTACTCACCTGCATCTTGCTGGGTGTATGTAGTGTATTTCTCTGTGCAGAATCTGTAGATCTGCCAGGCTAAGATGCCCAGAGCCAGCAGTAGGAGAATGATGGAGATACCCAGAATGCAGTATTTGACCACATCAGAAAATGGCATTCTCAGCTCTCCAGCTTTTGAAAACAGCTCCATAGGAGCTGGGTAGTCTATAAGAGTCACCATGGCTTTCTGCGGCCATGTGGTCTGCACATACCTCTGCAATACAGGAACACAGAGCATGTGAGGACCATAGCTGGGTGGATTAAAGGACCTGCTAATAGCAGGTATGTAATGTAATGTATTTAAAAAAAATATACAGTGCTTAAAAAAATTATTAGACTACTATCCATGTAATGCCACAGTGAATTAAACTAACATTAATGTTTAATCCATCAGCACTATAATCAAAATTATTATTATTGTTGTTATCCACAAGTTTTCAAATTTGCTGTTACAAAAAAGCCGGAAAAAATAGTAAAGCATGTTGCTTTTTAAAAAAAAATTAAGATTCCAACAATACATTGTTTCTGATGTTAACCAACAGTGGAATTTACAAAAATATTCAGCACTGATTTTGAAATGATCATCTAGTTAGGAAGAATCAATTAATGTCGATTAATCTATTACAGTTTCAGATCGCATGTGTATGACAATATAAAGTTTGAAGATGTTACTTGGACACTTGGGAACTGGATTTAAAAAAAAATCTATTCTCATATTTTTAGACTAATAGCTAATAATACGTATCAACACATTATTAAAATATAGCAAAGGACACTCAGTGACAGATCATTGACCAATAATTAAAATCTCGGCTGGTCTTTTGGTCATTGGTCTTTTTCGCTGAAAACTTTTTGGTAAAAGTAAAAAAAAACCAAACCCATTAACTGCACTCTCCTCAAAGAGAAAATCAAACAAGCATTGCAGGGAAAAACAATGTTCTAGTTGTTGGTGACTGTTGTTATAACTTGGCCTAACTAATTGAATCCACAGTCCAGTTTTGAGGCACGGAACTTGGATTGAATGCACATAATATATAATAATAAAGCACAAATGAGTCTAGACATATATCAGCTTAACTACTGTTTTCCTTCATGTTGAATGTAGTAAAGCAGAGCCTGATGAACATTTTTCTACAACTTTCTTAGTATGAAAGTATGAAAAAAATATCATTTTTCTTCTAAAGCTGTTATATACAGTTAGTGGCATTAACAAAGTTTTACACCTGTACCTTTACCAAAAATTCCAGACATGTGCACACTAAATACCTACCAAATGTCCAAACGCCCTGGTATTATCTGAGCGTTCCCTCAGGTAAAGAAAAACAGTACAGCTGTATCTCTTTTCTAAAAAATGCTTAACTCCTATCAGAAATAGTTTCGTCAAAGAGCACTGGACCTGCTCTGTGCAACATGACAGAAAACGTAGTACCTAATGTTTCTATTAAGACAAAGTAAAAATCTAAGGCAATTTTACAATGTGTTGCTAGGTCACAGAATTTAAAAGGACAGGTAAAAGGTAAAAACAGACATACACTTCACTACTGCACAGACCTTCTGTTGCTGCTTGAATCGTGGCTAAAATTGCTTTAAGGACAGTTAAATATTTACCTGTGATAAGTTAAAAACTGAGGTCTCCTTTTTCTTCTTTCCTTTTCCTGTGCTATAAATCCATTGTGTGCGCACTTACATCTCCACAGAAACAAAAGAACTTCTCTGCAAAGAGAAATTCAAACTAGTACCTTATCATGTAACTGTTGCTCCTACTTTGGTCACTCTACACTCACACACTCACACACAGACACACACACACACACGCGCACACACATAGACACACACCCTCCCTCTCTCTCTCTCTTTCACCTAACACATGACTATCAACACACCATTCTGGGCAGACTGGTTTGATTAGATACGAATTACATTTCAGAGAGCTTAGCTCAGTGTGACCTGATCCCAACCTCTCTTCTTCATAAAGATTCCTTTGCAGGCCTGTTAACTGAATGTTCAGGTTAGATACTTCAGAAGTGAATTATTGAAACTTGGAAAATAAGCATTTTCTAAGTTGCATGTTCAGTTACAGCTCTGCTTTATCATCTCTGTGGCCAAGCTGGCTGCAGATACAGGTGTTATAAAATGACAGTGGTAACGTACTTTCAACAGCTTAAAGGTCAGCCAGGATCATGCCCTGTTTGTCTTAAAACACTTCCCTTGAAATTGTCTTGCTGAATGGTCACCTAATATGTTGCAGGACTGCTTGCTGACAGCAAGGCCTGCAAATGGGAAAAGGAAATGTATGTAAAAATTGGCCTATCAAGTAACACTTAAGACAGGTAAAGTGTTTTTAGAAAAATGAGAAAGAAAACCTTGATGACTAAGCTTTCTCATTTCCTTGTCACTCTCAGAATTAACATTGCTTTTATTTTGCAACTTTTAAAAACCCAGTCAAAGAACTGCTTCATGAAACTTACACTGAAACTTAAAACGTCACACAGGGAACTTCATATTACATGACCATTGCATTGTGGGCATGAGTCATGAGTTTTCTTCTTCAACACTGTGATATGGATGAAAGGTGTCTTCTGATCAAAGTGCAAAACAATGGAGGCACAGTTTGGTTTTGGGTTAAGACTCTCACAGAAGTGATGCAAAGAGGGCTGGGGTCAGGGTTAAGGCTGTCTTCTTGTCATCCACAGAAGACAGCATGTCAAAAGCAAAGTAAATACAAAAAGCTAAGCTGCAGACATCGTTATGTGAAAGTGAGACTGATGTCATAAAAAACAGAAAGACTTTTGATAGAGTTGTTCTTTATTAGCAAAAATAAGAGCTTTGCTTTTGGCAGTAAGGACACCAGGGGGCTATAGAGACATTTTGGCTTCATTTTTGGAGAACTGTTGTGCCGTCCAGCTGCGTAGTGGTTAGACTACACGCCTTTGGAACAGAGGATCGCAAGTTCGATTCCTGCCTGGGGCGTCTGTATCCAGTAAGGGTCCCCTATGCTAAGCAAGCCTACCGCAGACATGAGCGAGACAGATAAATATGAAGGCATGCCAGCTCGGACGTCGCCCAGATCAACAAGGTCCGCATCAGGTGTTGAGGAACCAGGGCACCCTGACGAAAAGTGGGCTACTGGAACAAGAAGGCATCGGTGGGCAAGAGACGAAAACAGGGCGTTGTTGGAATGCTACTACGCAAGTAACCCCGGCGGAAGGGGCTACATGAATAGGGTGAGGGACCTATGGATTCTTCGATACCCAACATCCACAATGACAGCGAAACAACTAGTAGCTCAGTGTTCCAACATTCAAAAGAAGGGACTGCTCTCACAGCTAGAGATTGACGAGGTACAACACAAATGCTAAGGCAAGGAGGAGTCAGGACGCCAGGTCAGGGGGGAGATATCATCACCCCCACCCGAGATTGGGTACATAGCCCCAAGTGCGATAGGAGAAGGATCGTTGAGTGCGAGAGGAACTGACCTGAAAAAAAGGATCATGGCCAAGCTTGAAACCTGGATCCCCCGTAGCCGGTTACCAAGATTACGTGAAGTACCCTCAGAAGGTCTGCTAGATGATGTTAATGCAGCACTATGGACAATACCTACAACCACGATTACCGACACTAACAAGCTGATCTACAATACGGCAACAGTGATCAGTGAGATGCTTGGCTACAAGTTGAACAGCCACAAGGGGCAGTACCCTCCATGGAGAAGGAGGCTAGAGGGCAAGATCAAAGTAGCACGGAGGGAGGTTAGCCAACTAACAGAGTTGCAGAAAGGTGCGACAAAGAAGGTGCATAAGAAATACAGCAAGCTGTCCATACCTGAGGCCTTGGAAACTGCCAAGCAAAGACTCACAGCCTTGGCCAGCCGCTTGAGGAGGTACACCAGAGAGATAGAAGGTAGGAGAATAAACCAGCTGTTCTCCACAGAACCAGCAAAGGTGTACTCTCAGTGGCAAGGGAACAATAATAATAAGAGAACAGCACCACCAAGCCTGGAGACGGAGCAATACTGGAAGAGCATATGGGAGAAGGACGCAACCCATAACGGCAATGCTCAGTGGCTAGTGGATCTGAGGGCAGACCACAGCGACCTCCCTGAACAGGGTCCAGTGGCACAGTGGCAGATATCCAAGAAAGGGTCTCCAGTATGAAGAGTTGGACAGCACCAGGGCCCGACATGGTTCACGCCTACTGGCTAAAGAAGCTGACTGCACTCCATGAGTGTCTGGCAGCACAAATGAACCAGCTGCTAGCTAACGAGAGACACCCGGAATGGCTAACCGAAGGTCGGACGGTCCTGATCCCCAAGGGACCGGTCCCCTCCAACTACCGACCAATAACCTGCCTCAGTACTACATGGAAGCTCCTGTCAGGCATCATATCGGCTAAGATGAACAGGCACATGGGTCAATACATGAGCGGGACACAGAAAGGAATTGGCAAGAATACCAGAGGCGCAAAACACCAGCTACTGGTAGACAGAACAGTCAGCCGAGACTGCAAGACCAGACTGACCAACCTGTGCACGGTTTGGATTAATTACAAGAAGGCCTATGACTTAATGCCCCACAGCTGGATACTGGAATGCCTAGAATTGTACAAGATCAATGGGACCCTAAGAGCCTTCATCGGGAACTCAATGGGGATGTGGCGTACAACACTAGAGGCCAACTCCAAGCCCATAGCACAAGTCACCATCAAGTGCGGGATCTACCAAGGAGATGCTCTGTCCCCACTGCTGTTCTGCATAGGCCTGAACCTCCTCAGTGAGATCATTAACAAGACTGGCTACGGATACCGACTACGGAACGGAGCAGTTGTCAGCCACCTCCTGTACATGGATGACATCAAGCTGTATGCCAAGAGTGAACGAGACATTGATTCACTGATCCACACTACCAGGCTATACAGCAATGACATTGGAATGTCGTTCGGACTGGAGAAGTGTAGTCGGATGGTAACAAAGAGAGGGAAGGTAGTCAGAACTGAGGGGATTGAACTACCAGAAGGCAAAATTGCAGACATAGAGGACAGTTACAAGTACTTGGGGATCCCGCAGGCGAATGGGAACCATGAAGAGGCCGCTAGAAAAGCTGCAACCACCAAGTACCTGCAGAGGGTCAGGCAAGTCCTGAGGAGTCAGCTGAATGGTAAGAACAAGATCCGGGCCATCAACACGTACGCCCTGCCCGTGATCAGGTACCCTGCTGGGGTAATAGGCTGGCCAAAGGAGGAGATAGAAGCCACTGACATAAAGACAAGAAAGCTCCTTACCATGCATGGAGGGTTTCACCCCAAGTCCAGCACCCCGAGGCTGTACGCTAAGCGGAAGGAAGGGGGCCGGGGACTGGTGAGTGTCAGCACCACAGTCCAGGATGAGACAACGAACATCCAAGAATACATTGGGAAGATGGCCCCAACTGACCGAGTGCTCAGTGAATACCTCAGGCAGCAGAAACCCAAGAAAGAGGAGGGAGACGAGGAACCATCATGGAAGGACAGGCCCCTGCACGGTATGTACCACCGGCAGATAGAGGAGGTGGCTGATATCCAGAAATCCTACCAGTGGCTGGATAAAGCTGGACTGAAAGACAGCACAGAGGCACTAATCATGGCAGCACAAGAACAAGCTCTGAGTACAAGATCCATAGAGGCTGGGGTCTATCACATCAGGCAAGACCCCAGGTGCAGGCTGTGTAAAGATGCCCCAGAGACAATCCAGCACATAACAGCAGGGTGCAAGATACTAGCAGGCAAGGCATACATGGAACGCCATAACCAAGTGGCCGGCATAGTGTACAGGAACATCTGTGCCGAGTATAACCTGGAAGTCCCGAGGTCAAAATGGGAGATGCCCCCAAGGGTGGTGGAGAATGACCGAGCTAAGATCCTGTGGGACTTCCAGATACAGATGGACAAAATGGTGGTGGCTAACCAACCACTTGGTTAGCCAAGCCACTTGGTGGTGGTATGGACATAGCCATACCACCACTATGTCCGTTGGTCCGGCTAACCAACGGACATAGTGGTGGTAGACAAACAGAAGAAGATGGCCATAGTGATCGATGTAGCGGTTCCGAATGACAGCAATATCAGGAAGAAGGAACACGAGAAGCTGGAGAAATACCAAGGGCTCAGAGAAGAGCTCGAGAGGATGTGGAGGGTGAAGGTAACGGTGGTCCCCGTGGTAATCGGAGCACTAGGTGCGGTGACTCCCAAGCTAGGCGAGTGGCTCCAGCAGATCCCGGGAATACCATCGGAGATCTCTGTCCAGAAGAGCGCAGTCCTGGGAACAGCTAAGATACTGCGCAGGACCCTCAAGCTCCCAGGCCTCTGGTAGAGGACCCGAGCTTGAAGGATAGGTTGAAGGTGCTGGGTGTTTTGTTTTTATATATATATATATATATATATACACACACACACACACACACACACATATACATATATCACTGACTTGCAGCTTGTTGTGTTTGAGGATATATGACTGACTTTAATTATTAAACATTCGCACATAAATAAGTGACGTCATATTCAGTACTTTTAACAGTTCACTCTTCGGCCGCTCCATCTTATTAGGGAAATTCCATATACATAAATGTAAATTTCAAAACTCAACCCCATCATTTAATTTGTTTTTGATTGAAATTGAATATTACTTAAACTCTCTTACATTAAATTCCAATAAAAAAGGTTTATCATTGATTGAAATTCATTCAGAAATGTGTAAGGAATGAGCTGTCACAAGTTTCAAGTACAAAGTTGTTATGAAGTCTGTCACATTCCCCCCCTTTTTTTCTTTTCTATCCTTTATTTATTTATCCTTATTTCATTGTACTGTATATTGTTACTCTTATTTGCCTTGTATGTCTACTGTACAAACTGAACTGGAATGACTGACTGTTCGCTTTATAAGTTCAATAAAGTTTGAAAAAAAAAACAAAACCTCTTCGGCTGCTCCCTTCTGCCGTATTTTGCGGCAAAATTATCCACACCCACCGTCGCGCTAAGAATTGTGGGATATATGGGACCACGAAGCGTGCACCGGACCACGCTTGATATTTGGGGAAATCGACGGCGCATTTGGAGTATGCATTTGAAGTACACTTCGAATTGGGACAGCCGTCGTTGCGTGGCGGTGACATAACCGCACTTGAAATTCAAATTCAAATTCAAATTTTATTTGTCACGTACACAGTCATACACAGTACGATATGTAGTGAAATGCTTGGACAACTGCTCGTGACCTAAAGAAAAGAAAAGGAAAAGGCTATGAATAAGATAGGAAATAAATATGAAAAATTAAAAAGGGTAAATTTAACTAGGGAGGAATAAAATATAAATTAAGGTTAAAAATGAAGTAACTGTACAACACAAATTAGAATGAAGGGTAAATTTAACTGGGAAAGATTAAGAAAATATATAAATTAAAGTTGAAAATAAAATAACTGTACAACAAAATACACAATATAGAACTATATAAGAATGTATGAAGAAATATAAATAAATATATACACAATAACAGCAGCTGTACAAGTATTAACTGGAAATGAAGAATATAATGTCCAGTGTTGTGCAATCCACATTATGAAATGCGTACTTCAAGCGTGCAGACCCTGAATTGGGACAGAGCCCAGGCCTCGAGGGCCGGTGTCCTGCAGATTTTAGATGTGTCCTTGATCCAACACAGCTTATTTAAAAGGCTAAATGACCTCCTCAACATGTCTTGAAGTTCTCCAGAGGCCTGGTAATGAACTAATCATTTTATTCAGGTCTGTTTACCCAGGGTGATGGAGATGTATGAAGATCGGTGGGGTCAGAAGTAGGGTGCCAAGAGAGCATGTACTTTTACAACCTTTTCCCACATTCTTTGTAGCTGTTAATGTTTTTTAATTCCCTATTGGGGTTGCAATGGTATGAGAATTTCTAGGTGCAATAACTAACGGCATTGTGGACTTCAATTGTTACACCTTTATTTTTGCAAAGCTAAATCCACTAAAATGTCTACAAGCACACTCAACATGCAAAGGACTGAAACTGGGTCACAGCTTCTTTGAAGGTCTTTTTGCCAGTGTCCTAATTTTTGTATGTATTGGAGTTGAATCTTAAAAACACTGTCACACATTTTTAAAATAACTATTCAACTAAATAAACAATCACTTGTGGCCATATTTGCTATTGTGGAACAACAGGTATCTCCTAGGAATAAAAAATAGCCAAAAATTACATTTGCCACTTTGAACTGGATTCTCTCAATGACTGAGGGAAGTAATGCATCATCTTAAACTCAAGAAACTAAGTAGATAAATCGAGACAACCTAAAACTCAATGGACTATATTAAAACTAACATTTACATCCATTTCCACTACTTAAACAGTGGCACCCATATATAAACTTAGCATTCTTAATGGTATTGATGAATGTTATCGCTTCTGTCCTAGTCTTAGGAACTCATTGCAGTCTACAGAATAACTGTTTTGTGCATTTGCCTGTCTGTTTTTGTGGTGTCATTTGCTTTATGTGTTTAGAAAATTATACAAAAAAAAAAACCCTGAAGAAATGAACATCATCCTTTCACCTCATTTCAGTTTCTAAATAAATATTATTTACAATAACTCTTTAAGGAATAAACCAAAAGACAGTTTTGTTTTAGTAAATTATTTATTAGAACTGAAAATTGAAACAAATTTTTAAAGCAAATATGTGTAAAAAGACTTCCGTCTTTTTACAGTCTCCCACTGGAGCAAACAAAATACGGGGAAAATAAATTAACAAACCCTACTTCTTTTGAAGCAATACAAACCGGAAAGGTGCACTAGCTTGACCTATTCTCCAAGAAACCAAGATGACTATGAGCAAATTAAATTCTCTATCCTAATACGAAATATTATCATACGGCTGTTAAACATCATAACCTAGTCCCTATGTAGTCAAAGGAGCTTGCAAAGAAAGCTTGCAAAGATGACCTGGATGACTGAGAACCTTCACAGACATAGTCCCTATGTAGGATATTTTATTGGTTATCTGTTGTACATGTAATCATTGTGAAGACACTGGTGGACTGAGAACCGATTTGCACCACGGCTGGTGTTATTTCACAGCAAGACAATCCAAAAGCCTATATAAGCCCCCCAAAATACACAGCAGGCCCACCCTGAGCGATGAAAAGTTTATGGAGTTTGTGCTAACATTTGTAAAATCTAGTCTGTGATTTTCTCTTACTAACACAACATGCGCTTCCCTGACCGCAGGGCTCAGTGCACTTTTTGAAGGGGACAGAGCAAAATGGTTTGGAAAAAGCTCTAGTAGATACGCTCCTATAAAGTGGCATGCAGCACAATCAAAGCCGTAGATACATTCATTCTTGCATAGTTAGAGTAAAAGTAATAACCATTAGGATGAGTTAAGAATTCTCAGTCCTTCTCATAACTGATGGACATCAAGTTCACCAAGGTATCTGCTCTCCTGTAAAGTTCAGAAATGAGCCATGGTCCTTTTCAGTTAGCCCTCCAATCACAGACAACATGAAAGAAATACTATCCTCGGGACTCAATGGAGCCTGGAAAGAGATGGAGAGAACAGAAAAGCAAATGAAACATACGCTTCTGTCATGATCCCAGGTCTGTTCTCAGGGTATTTGTGTGTTTTTGAGTGTTATTCAAATTCATTCTTGTTTATTATAAGGCTAGGTCTCTCTTTGGGTCTCTTTTATAACATCTACATTTTCAGGTTTCACGTCTTTTACTTAGCATTTTCAGTCTTTAGTTCACAGTTTGAGTTTCTATTTGTATTAGAGTTTATTTGATTCCTCAGTGTCTCCCTCCATCTTATTGTCCTGAGTTAAGTTCACTCAGATTTACTTTATAAGTTTCTATTTTACTTCACTAATCACACTCTTTGTGTATTGTTTGTAGTTTAACCTCCTCATTTACCTTGACTGTGCTCAGCTGTGTTTAGCTTCTCTTACGTTTCTGCTCTCCTCATTACTTCATGTTTATTTTTAGCCCCAGTTTGCCTGTGTTCTTTGTTGCATCATAATGTGTTTTAACCATCCATCCATCCATCTTCTTCCGCTTATCCGGGGCTGGGTCGCGGGGGCAGCAGCCCAAGCAGAAAAGCCCACCTCCTCCAGCTTGTCTGGGGGAACACCATGGCATTCCCAGGCCAGCCGAGAGATATAATCTCTCCAGCGTGTCCTGGATCTGCCCCGGGATATGCTGGCAACTGTTGCTTTTATTTTTGTGCGTTTTGTATTTTGTATTTTACACTCTTTTGGGGTTTTTTTTGTTAAACCAATAGGCTTTTGTTATTTTGGATCTGGACTTGGTATAGTTACAAGCAGCAGCTTATATTTGAGTCCTTTTAACTACTATAGTCCAATCCATGACATGTTTTTACACACACACACACACACACACACACACACACACACACACACACACACACACACACACACACACACCATTTACGGTATATATCACAGTGGTATAGCCCGTTCATAAGTCCAATGCATTCTCTCTTCCTTCCTCATCAATTATGCGTATCTTAAAGTCATTCAGAGCAGGCCCTTACCTCTGACCCCCCCATGTCAGTGCGTACCCAGCCAGGGTGTATAGCCATACAGAGAATCCCATCTGGCTCTAGGTCTACAGCCATGCAGCGACTAACCATGTTTAGTGCACTCTAAAATGACAAGCACAAACAGATTACCATGAAACACAAAGAAAATGAATTTCACCTTGACCCCTCTTTTCATACTCACATCACAGTACAGTTAACCCAAGTTAAGTGATGTCCCTTAGCAGTCCGTTACTTTTTATTATGCAGTATTCTCTAATACCTCTTCTTTCCTTTAACCTGGAAGTTGCTGGGAGCTCCTGCTAGCTGCTAATAGCCAATAATTACTGTTCTGAATGTTTTGTGCAACTCCACATGGTCCACACACCTATAACAGCAATATTAATGCGAAATACTCACAGCTTAAATAAACTGTAATTATTCTTTAAATCACAGTAACAATACCTTGGATGTCCTGTAGGGGTACCATTTGAAGTTGTTGGCCCTCTCACCCCAAGTGAGCTCCACAGAGCCCAGCAGTGAGGTCATGTTAATAACCGCTGCCCTCTGGATTCCCATTGTAGCTGAGCCTCCTGCCCCTCCTCTGGATGCAGCTTTTTTTAGAAGAGGCAGATAAGCCTGGCAGAAAAAAGAAGACACACACATTATAGCTGGAAGCAGCAATAAAGTCACAGTTTATGAATGGTTTAAAATTATTTAAAAAAACATGCTGATTATTATACTTTTAACATTTTAAATATGAACTTGTCAGACTGACACATTTCACACTGTATGTCTTTAGAGATGACGCTAGTGCTGCCCTCTGGTGGCAGCATTTCCATGGAGTGGGCAAAAAGTCACAATTCTCCACACACACTTTTTCAATTCTCTCAAACTTTACTGATGCTACTGAAATATTCTGCTTTTATTTAATTATTATTTTTTACTTAAAAAAAATTCAAAACAAAAAAAGAAAAAAGCAAAAATCAACAAGTTGAAGCAGAGATCAACGATGGGTCTCCAAAAAAAACTAATAATACAGTCAGACAGCTTCAAACTGCTTGATTCTCCACAAAGCAACTGTTTAAAAACAAGCATTTTTAGGACAAATGAGAGATACACCCTTTTAGGGTTTTTATAGGTTAAAACAAGTTTTTCCTCAAATTACTGATTAATCATTCAGTCATTAAAACAAAAAACAAACAAAGACCTAAGATGACATTTTCAGTTTTGTTACAATCTGAAGTGTAATTATCTCCCAAAACCTGCAGAGAGGGCCGAGAAGCAGTTGTCTGCTCTAAAGTGTGTGATGTAGTGTTGATTTAAAACCACATTTACAACTTTGCAGACGGTGATTATAGAAGACGTCCGGGCAGCAATTTGGCCTTGCACAGTTGCAGAAAGGGCTCTTTAACAGAAGCAAACTGTGTGTCAGGAACAATCTGCCATGCTTCTGATCAGTGCCTGAGTTTTACCAGCACAGGAGGCTTACTCTGTAGTCCACCCTAAAATCAGCGGCCGACAAAATAATTGACTTTTAATTAATATTTATGGCATTCAGTCTGCCCCAGACAACAGGGTTTTGTTACTTCTGTCCATCAAGGTCGTGTCTTTATGTTGGCTTCCAGCACTGAGGAAATGAAACACTCATGGGTCCTGCTTGCGGCGACTGAGGAAAACAGAACGCTGCACTCTTTTCTTTTGGTTATTTCACTGTCTGATGATGCAAGATGTTCCAAATAAAACTTTTTTAGAGCTACTAAGTAGCTGATTCAAAGCACAGAAGGTGGCAAGAGGCACACAATATATAAATAAAATTTACCTTAGTGATCATTAGAGGAGCCACAGTGTTGGTGTGGAAGTTTTCTATCATCATCTCGGCGGTAACAGAATGAAAGTCGGCCACCACTTTGATGCCCGCATTGTTGATCAGGCAGTTCAGACCTTCTTCTTGCACCAGCTTGCTCACCTCTTCTACAGACTTCTCTATGCTCTCCTGGTTCACTACGTCTAGTAAAGAGACATAAACTAATCAAAGCTGAAAAAAAAAATCATGCAACACTCGCAGCAACAAGAAATTGGGGGCTAAAGAACCATAAAAGGACAAGGTGATCATGAAATGTGGCTCAGATCTTAAATACAATGAATTGCATTAAGCCATGTGTTTGGCTGATAAGATATTTACAATAACAAGCAGTTCAATGGGTGTATCTAAAAAAGTGGCCGATGGCCTGTCATAAAGACTGTGACTTTGTGTTTTAATTTTTCCTAAATTTTTTCTGTCTAAACACAGAAAACAATGTTCTTCTCAGTCTTACCCAAAGTGATTATGTGGATGTTGGGATGCTTCTCCGCCAGTTCTTGAAGTTCCTGTAGGTCAAAAGCACAGTTGGATAGTGGTGAGGGAGGATGTCTTGATGCTGTTTCTTTCTTTTTTTTTTTTTTGCCTGTCCCGTTTGGCTCTTTTGCCATCAGAATTGTTGTCTAAAGGCAAAGAAAGATGCCCAACGGATTTACTTTACCAAATTGACCATCCCAGCCTTGCCGTAATGGTCCATTTGATTCACCTTTTATTGTTTATTTTATTTTCATTTGCTGAATACGGGACAGACTTGACTGGGGGAAAGAAGGGGAGAAAGAAAGAGGGAAAGAAAAACAGCTGAGAAGAGGGACGGGGGAGAAGGGCAAAAACCAAAAACCAACAGAATAAGCAGAAAAAAAAATGCATATATCGATCACCTGGATCACCTGCTGAGAAAGAAAAAAGAAAACAAGCAGAAGAGAACAAGAGTAATAGAATAAACAACATCACAATGATATATGGGAATATGACAGTGAATACTAAATATTAAACATTATTGTGCAGCACGTAAGATCAACAGAACACAGTGTGCTTTGAGGTAGGAGCCAAAAAGGGTGTAGTTTGTGGGTGTGATCACCCGTGTGTACACCTGTGAGCATCGACGCACTTGTTTTTTTTTTTTAAAGGTTCCTTCATGTAATGATCTGCTAGAGGGTGTGGGGGGGCCACTGCCCCGTCCACCAGGGCATGAAGCAGGTATGGAGGAGATCAAAACTCCATTCATCCAGAGGCCCCCAGAACACAAGAGACCAAAGAAGACCAACAGAGGGGCAGCCGCGCCACTGTCCCAGAAAGAGCTGAGGAGAGTCCCAGATGAGGGGTCACTCAGCAGCCGCGGAGCAGAAGCCAGGGGGGTTGCAGTGACGCGCCCGTGAGCTCCGCCGGCAGCCAGCTGTGCCTGAGTGACCGAGCCCCAGGCCGAGGGGCCGGGGCACCCCACCCCTGAAGTGGCCCGAGCGAGCCCCAGGCTCCAGGCCCCGATAAGCGGCCGCCAAGGAGTGAGCCGGAGTGTACCTGGACGCCCATCCCCGGACACAAAGAACCACCAACGCACCGATGTCTGAGGGAGTCCGCCACCGGCAGGGAAGTGGTGGGGGGAGATAGGCCTCCAAACCTTGGAGGGCCTGAGATGTCCCCAGAGAGGTGGCGTCTGACACCCAACCTGACATATAGACACAGACATACAGGCACACACAGATACAAACATCCATTCCCACCCTTATGCTCTCATATGCACTTACTCCACACTCAACCAACGTGGAGACAGACATGAAGAGACACTGTACACACGATCACACTCCCCAAGCGTACTCTACGAACCGGGTCTAGGTACCCTTGCCCCTGGAGGGGGGAACTGCACCCAGACCCAGGTGGTGTTACCCTTTTCCCTGCGGTGGGGAGAAGCAGACCGCCCCGACTCCGCAGCAGCAGGGAGGCCCCACACTCCAGACGGCCAACTCCTCCTCCTAGCCCCCCTGCTCCAGCAGGCCGCAGAGAACGGGGGTGAGAGAAGACTCCAAACCTCCCTCCACCCGCTCATTGTAGTGTTGATGCATGTGTGGATCCTGTTTATTTCTAAATAAATAAAATGGTAAATGGCCTGTATTTGTATAGCGCTTTACTAGTCCCTAAGGACCCCAAAGCGCTTCACACAACCAGTCATCCACCCATTCACACACACATTCACACACTGGTTAACATTTCTATGTTAACTGAGGGGCGTACTACAAACCAAGCTCACGATAGCCAGGGTCTGTTTGTGTTAGCTGCCTCAAGAAAACCTTACCGGCTGTGCATATTTTCTGATGCAAAAGACCAATTTCCAATTATTAGCGGCACTTACAGCAATGTGACAAATACACAGGTTGTTTATGCAAATTGCATTTCTTCCTCAGAAAATCCATAATCACACTCAGAGCATATTGTCAAGAAAAGTGAAAATGTATAAATTTCAAACCACCACCTTTGTGACATTTAAAATTCAGACTCAACATGACTTGCTAAATTATAAATCCTGCTTCATAGTACAGCCCTCTGGTGACCATCAGTGTTTGCTCAAAGGAGGAGAATAACTGGCCAGTGTACTTTTTTCCTTACTTGAATGTCAACATGTTTGCCTTGTCAGTGGAGTGTTGTTTGAACATGTCACCTAAAAGAAATTTTGCTGTATTTTTAATGCTGCATAAAGACACAAAGGCTGCTGATAGGATAAGGATACAAAAGCATAATGACAAGTAACACAATGCGAGATCCCAACCAGACTAGCTCTCTCTCACGCACAGATTCCACTATAACATACAGGCCACTGTAATTTCCGATTATGTTACCCATGTATACTGAGATTGTTTTATATTAACAAACTCCAAAAATTTAGCTAAAAATAAAATAGAATTTAATTCACGTGGTAAGGACCCTACAATAAAATAAACAAAACCCCAACAACCAGAAGATGCCTTTTGGGCGTGCACTTAGCAACAGTGGGAAGGAAAAGCAGACTTTTAACAGGAAGACAGGGAGCCATCAGCCATGACCATTTTGGGGTCAAAATTACCATGACATTCACGCCCATGATAGGTGTATGGAAACTTCTAGGATGATCTTTTACTCAAACACTTTAAACATGGATCAGCGCTGGCGGAAACAAATCTTTATTTAGCCTTTATCCTACACATGACAATGTTTGAAATAATCTTAAATTTAACACATCTTTATTAAGAACATATTTTAATTTAAATTGTGGGTTTTTAAAGAAAAGATCAATATAGTGTACATCACTTTTTTCTTATAGTTTTACTAAAATATGACATCTTGTTCAATAAATACCTAACCTCTTCTTTTACTTTACGAATAAGTTGTAAAACTTATACGAAATGTTCATTTTTAGCGGGTTTTTTTTAACCAATTCATACTTTTTGGAAGATATTTTTCTATTTCTATTTTTTTTTTAACGAAGGGGGGGAATTATTCCGTTTCAACGTGTTATATTCACGCGTCTGCACAGATGAGTCAAATACGCATGCGCCGACGGATTACTTAAATGCGACCAAAGCGACATTCACTGAAATACGAAGAATCGCTGTTTGACTATTCTCGGGAGTTAACATACACACTTGTATTATCCAAATAGCTGTCTTTGGAGTGGTCCATCAGCTTTATTCCATTATTGCTACGCCATCAATGCGCACACCGAGTTTCGTGTTGGTGTTTACCTGTGCGTTACCAGGGTTTCTGCACGTGGCTATTATCTTTCCAGGTGAAAACTGTCCACTTGCCAGACTGTCCACTAACTGCAGCCCGAGGCCCCGGCTGGCTCCAGTAATCAGCACAGAGCCGCATTTTTTAAAATTCATCGCAGCACTCATGGCGGACTGTATATGTCCCTGTGCGCGAGCTCTTAGATAATCTGCAGGCGTCACGCGACTCCTCCAGCAGGGGGAAGGCTTGCTCTACTGGGGCTTGCGCTTCTTCTTCTTCGTCTAGTTTCATTAAATTGCCATCCTTGTAAGTTTCATTACTGCCTCCTTCTGGTTTTAGTTCTTCATTGCAGCCCACTGTTGTCACATAATTGCTGCTGTTACTTCAGTTGCTCTAAAAACTTAAATATGCAAAAAGTCACGCATGGCTCCACTCTCTTCTCTGCCCACAGTTTTTGGACACTGGATATTTCTCTAAACCTGTAAGTTACTGTAATTATTTGTAAACTTTTAATGACTGACTATTTTCTACTCTACCCCAGTTCTTCAACATCACCTCAAATCAGCAGTTAGACAGCTGAAAGTTGGACACAGTTTGGTGTTCTGCCAGGACAATGATCTCAAACACAAATCAAAACCGGTTCATTCTCCGGTTCAGATCATTAACAAGCTCTCCCGTGTAGTTTTGGGGTGATTCGCCAACTTTCTCATGATCATTTTCATCCATGAGCCAAGATCCTTTTGTAGGAGCTCCAGATCAAGGGCGACAGACAGCTTTGTGCAGGTCTACGATTTTGTTCCTGGTGTCCTCTGATGACAGCTCTTTGGTCTTGCCCATGGTGTAGGAGAGGGTGGAAAAGAAGAAATTGATTCTGTAGACAGGTGTGCTTTATACACATAACAAATTGAGATCAGGAATATCTGTAATTGATTAACTGACTGCAATCACTAATCTGTGGGAGCTAGAATTCTGTTTGGGTTGTAGGGGATCAAATACTTATTTCATGTATTGACATGCAAATCAATTTATAGCTTTGAGATTTGGGGTTGATGTTTTGTCTCTCTCCATTAAAATGAGATGATTTATTTCTTTGTAAGTGAGAAAACTTCCAAATTCAGCAGGGGCAACAAATAATTATTTCCCTCACTGTATGTAAATCTCTGGCAACTAAAAATGTGATGTCTTCCCTGAATTAATTCCTGGCTGTTGTAATGGTTGACAGTGCTAACAGTGACTCATTCCACAGAGTATTTCATTTTCTTCTGCTTTTCTACCCTATAATGGTAGCAGGAATGTATATAGCTTAACAGCACAAACACTCAAATAAGCTGATATTCTCCTACAAATGCCTGCCTGCTTCAAGTCCTCTACCATGATCCCTGTCCCCAAGAAACCAAGGATCACTGAACTAAATGACTACAGACCCGTGGCTCTGACATCTGTGGTCATGAAGTCATTTGAGTGCCTGGTTCTCTCCTACCTCAAGACCCTCACGGCCCCCCTCTTGGACCCCCTGCAGTTTGCATACACAGCCAACAGGTCTGTAGACAACACTATCAACATGGCTCTACACTTCATCCTGCAGCATCTGGACTCCCCAGGAACCTACGCCAGGATCCTGTTTGTGGACTTCAGCTCTGCCTTCAACACCATCCTTCCAGACCATCTCCAAGGCAAGCTTTCCCAGGTGAATGTGCCTGATCCCATCTGCCGGTGGAACACTGACTTCCTGACGGACAGGAAGCAGCATGTGAGGCTGGGAAAGAATGTCTCGGACTCCTGGACCATCCTCACCGGCTCCCCTCAGGGCTGTGTTCTTTCTCCTCTGCTCTTCTCCCTGTACACCAACTGCTGCACCTCCACCCACCAGTCTGTCAAGCTAATCAAGTTTGCATAAAACACCACCGTTATAGGACTCATCTCGGACGGGGATGAGTCTGCCTACAGGAGGGAGGTTGAACGTCTGGTGTCCTGGTGCAGCCACAACAACCTGGTGCTGAATGCCCAGAAGACAGTGGAGATTATTGTGGACTTCAGGAAGCACACAGCTCCACTCCCCCCCATCATCCTGACTGACACCCCCATCACCTCTGTGGACTCATTCCACTTCCTGGGTACCACCATCTCCCAGGACCTGAAGTGGGAGCCCACCATCACCTCCGTCATTAAGAAAGCCCAGCAGAGGATGTACTTCCTGAGGCAGCTGAAGAAATTCAACCTGCCAACACGGACAATGATGCAATTCTACACTGCAATCATCGAGTCCATCCTCACCTCCTCCATCACCGTGTGGTGCGCTGGAGCCACTATCAGGGACAAACAAAGACTGCAGCGTGTTGTGCGCTCTGCTGAGAAGGTGATTGGCTGCAGACTCCCATCTCTGCAGGACCTGTACACCTCCAGGACACTGGGGTGTGCAGCTCGGATCACAGCTGACCCTTCTCACCCTGGACACAGTCTGTTTGACCTGCTCCCCTCAGGCAGGAGGCTCCGGTCCATTCGCACCAGAACCTCTCGCCATAAGAACAGTTTCTTCCCCTCTGCTGTTGGACACATGAACAATAACTGTATGACTGTTCCCACCACTAACACATGACCCTACGCTGTGTTCACTGCATCATTCCATGTTTGGCACTGATCACCACCTGCAGTCATGTATATAACTATCTACTTAGCACTTTTAATTCTTATTTTTATGTCTATTTAAGCGTTATATGACAGTATGTTTGCACTAAGTACCGCAGCAATTTCCTAATATTGTAAACCTGCTCAACATTTGGCAATAAAACCCTTTCTGATTCTGATTCTGAAATGCCAGTGTGGCCACTGTGTACAATACCTGAGACTTTGACCAAGAATAACCTCACAAACAGAGTCTGGTAGTAGTTGGAAAAATAAAATAGAGGCGTCAACACTGCAGACAATGAAATTAATAAATAGGGGGGCCCCTTTAACTTTCATTGCTATGAAGCTCTGGATTGAACAGTTCCACAATTCACTGTGCAGAAAGCCCCAAACAGCTGTGTTTGCAGCAGAGTCATCTTTACTTAAGCAGCAAAGTGCATTTCTCAATGAAAGCTAATAATCCATAAGTTCAGGGATCATAGAGGAAAAACAAACAGAGTTCTGGGTTTTATTTAATAATTTTTAAGTAAAAAAAAAGAGCAAGAATATTAAACTATGGAAATCGAGGTGCAGGACTGGGGAGGAAATAAGAGTTTGTCCCAAGTCTCTGCTTTATTTTGATTGTTATAATAGACAGAAGTGCAGGTAAAAGCATAAAATAATTAATGCTGGTTAAATGTTTTAGGAAAATGTATTGCAATCAGTCACTACCTTTTTGATCCACACATATCTAAAATCTTTGTATCTTCCCTGCGATCCTTTGCCTTCAGTTTTGCTCTGTGTAAGGGGAGTAGACTCACCCATTTATGGCACACAGGTTCTGTGTAATCAGTTCAAAGAACTTTGTCGCAGAAATCTGCTGGTTTCTTTTTCTGGCTTGTCATATTTTGGTGAAACTGGTCATATTCTTTCCTGGTAAACTCACCTATAATATATTAGTTTCATGACAGGAGTTTTACTATTACCAGTTTTGTTTTTTGTTTTTTTTTCAATCTTATAAGAATCATATTCTCATTTACATTTGGTTTGTTCACCTCTTTTCTTCTCATATTGATAAGACTGCTACACCTAAATGAAAACTTTTGGACATCATTTTTGTACTTGAACCACACACACCGGCAAAAAAACACCCAATAACCAAACATAACAAGTGCCAAATTACTTCTGCTAGGCAGAAGGGCTGTATTTCACTTATGTGCAGTGATAGAAACCCAAGAAAAGGCAAAGAAAGTCCAGAGACTCTGGTTATGAGATAAAGTTAGCAATACTCATATGTAAAGTAGCAATGACATGCTTACATTTGTTAATTGCCCCTTGGGGATAAATAAAGTCTTTCTGATTCTGATTACATTGTAGACCGGGGCCCATGAGAGAATAGCAGAAATATCCAAACTTGCGTACACCATACAAACACATTGTCCCTGCTATGTAACTTGCCTGCTAGGTGGTCTAATGACACATATTCCAGTGAGTAATTCCGTCTGCTGCCATTGAGTTTTAGATGGGGCCATATCCGTGATCCTAAAGGACACACTTCCTTACACAGAACATTAAAAGCCTGTAGAGCTGCTTTCCAAACTTCCCTCTGATTTTGTCATTCGCCATTCCAAGTAGAATACACACTGGATTACATTCAGTGTCAGTAGAAAAGATCTTATCTGGTTCATACTTTATAACCCATTACTATATTTCGAACTGAAAGTGCTGAAGCACATTCAAAAATAAGAAAAATGTGCAACATTTTGCAAACACTTACATGTCTGCCTAGTTTATACTAAATTATTTACAACAACACTGAAGCTAAAATGAAGGTAAATTAGTTTTCTCTCAGAACTACCAATAGTTTTTCATTAGTTTGATGTGAAGCTGGGAGGGGAGGGAAGGGAGAGCCTTCAGTTTTCAGGCCCCTCTTCTACAGGGAGTGCAGAATTATTAGGCAAATGAGTATTTTGTCCACATCATCCTCTTCATGCATGTTGTCTTACTCCAAGCTGTATAGGCTCGAAAGCCTACTACCAATTAAGCATATTAGGTGATGTGCAACTCTGTAATGAGAAGGGGTGTGGTCTAATGACATCAACACCCTATATCAGGTGTGTATAATTATTAGGCAACGTCCTTTCCTTTGGCAAAATGAGTCAAAAGAAGGACTTGACAGGCACAGAAAAGTCAAAAATAGTGAGATATCTTGCAGAGGGATGCAGCAGTCTCAAAATTGCAAAGCTTCTGAAGCGTGATCATCGAACAATCAAGCGTTTCATTCAAAATAGTCAACAGGGTCGCAAGAAGCGTGTGGAAAAACCAAGGCGCAAAATAACTGCCCATGAACTGAGAAAAGTCAAGCGTGCAGCTGCCAAGATGCCACTTGCCACCAGTTTGGCCATATTTCAGAGCTGCAACATCACTGGAGTGCCCAAAAGCACAAGGTGTGCAATACTCAGAGACATGGCCAAGGTAAGAAAGGCTGAAAGACGACCACCACTGAACAAGACACACAAGCTGAAACGTCAAGACTGGGCCAACAAATATCTCAAGACTGGTGTTTCCAAGGTTTTATGGACTGATGAAATGAGAGTGAGTCTTGATGGGCCAGATGGATGGGCCCGTGGCTGGATTG